GGACGTCGGGAGGAGCCGGAGCTGGCGGGACGGCTGCCGTGTGAGCAGGTGGGGGAATTTTTTTTTTAAAAGGCCGTAAATACGGGGGGGTCATAAGTAGGGCAGTCGTAGGTCGGGGGTCACCTGTACTGTAATTTTCTGTAGTTCGCAGATCAGCCACACTTCGAAGCATAAGCCAGTTCTGTGTCAAGTGCTCATTAGAGGAAAAAGTTAATACAGGATGTAGAAATCTTCCATTTACAATCGGAGTACAATCCATACAATACAATCAACCAGTTAACAATCCGAAAGGAAGTTAGTGTGTAGTTACACCATCAAAGGGGACCTGAATTCCCTGAGCCGGGCTTTAAAACAGGTTGCAACGCCTGGCTCGTGTCTAGGCTACGACCAGTTGTTTTTGCCTGCACCTCCAACCGCGGGTACCAAGAAAGGGCATGGTGGGCCCAGCCTGGCTGGAGCAGCCCCCGCCGGTCCCCATTTAAATGGTTTACCAGGTAAACGTCACATTTCACCGGTTAACTGATTACACGGGACTGTGCATCCCTAGTAGGGAGGTGGCATCTCCGTTTCACAGCTGAGTAATCTAGGGCACAGAGAACGCTTGCCCGAATTCAGCGGCAGTGCCGAAGGCTCCTCGTCCGACCCGATCTAGTTCTCCCAAACACACTTGTTCTAGCCCTGGCGATCACATTCCCTCGGTCTGCAGAGGGAGACGACACATGCATGTGCCGAAGTCTGATTTACTAGCCTCACGTCAGCCTCCCCACCACGGCACGGCTATAGTTCCCTGCAGGCACCTAGGAGAACGGGGCTGGGTCCCTATCCTGGGGGGTTTTAATACTGCTACTGGGTATGGGCATCTGCAGGCATAAGCCGGCACGGTGGGGGTGCCCATCTCTTCTGCAACAGACCAGCAGGATTTTTGCTCCCCGGGTGTTTTATTGAGCAGTCCTGAGCTGTCTGCCGGCAGCGTTAGTGCCTGAGTGTCCCCCAGCTGGGCGATCGCAAAGGGTTATGGATACAGAAGAGGCATCAGCACATCAGCCGGCGCGGGTGGATGTTTCAGTTTCTTTCCCCAAGACCCAAAGGGGCCACCCCCCACTGTGCTGGGGATCTAGGCCTGACCCACCCGGCCACCCCGGAGCTCCGTGACTCACTGGCCAGAAAGGGCTTTCACTGACTCGGCGGAGCTCCTGGGGGTCCCACCGCTTGGCTGGTTGCTCTGGCGAGTGGATGGAGCTTTGGGGCCGTCTCGTAGCCGCAGCGGGCGGGGGAGGGGGCCC